AGGTCCTCAGTCCCCGAAACTTGTTTCTCACCCCCCTTTGCTGCCTTCCTTCTTAGTCCAGTCGCCGCCGCACAGCGGGCCGTAGTGGCTAACCGTAGTCGTGGTGGTATTCGAGTAAAACACAGCAGTAGCAGTCGCCCGCTGTTGGCCATGGTCCTTAAGCGCAGCAAATGGCACAAAACACGCCGCCGACAATCTGTGCACGGTCGGGAGCAATAGTAGCTGTGCACGCTCAAAAACAGCAACAGTGGTCCCCGCCTGGTGGCCGAACACAGCAAAGGTACCCAGTAGCGGTCGATAGCGACTATAGCAGCGATACTGTGCGCCCGGATGCCGCAGACTGTAGCTTTTCTTAGCAGCATCCTGTGCTGAACACGCAGCAACAACTTATGAGTGATACGCAGCACTCGGCCTCTCCTGCAGTTTAGTCACTTCTTCTGATATCCCTCCCTCATCCTCCGTAATGGAGTCGCAATTCCATGGCCTTAAATAGCCACCGTCCTCACGGCATCACCAATAGTGGTAGCGGCGATCAGGCTCAACTGCGGCACCCTTGTTCCACAGACCATCTTTACACCCTGCGCAACAATGCACTATGGGAGCAACAACTGAAGATGACTTGAGCAAGCGGTAATAACGTTGTAGCCGGCCCAACACACCGATAGCCGGGGGCGACAAGCTGATCGGCTCTCCTAAAGGCAAGTGCCAGCCGACAGCTACGACTCCAACTCACATGTCAGGTTAGCGCCCGGCTCGGCGTCGCAGCTCAATCTCCGGTCCACCCCGCACTGCCTTCACCGAGGTAAGCATACCTTCTCTGTCCTCTCTCTCTCTTACCTCGCCCCCTTTTCTGTGTGTATATAATCCTTCACCGGCGAGATGGGCTCCACACCGGCCATCAGGTAAGCCCCCGACCTCGTGGCCAACTTCTTGGCCCCGCCCCTTGCTGCAGTGAGCGGAGCGAGTGAATCTCTCACTACAATGTGGGAAGGTGCATTGTTGATTTCCCAGCCTGTGCCCGCTGCACTCACTGACCTTCCGAACGACGCACCGGCCGGTACGTAAGTCCTCCGCTCTCCACACCTTTCTCGTACTACCCCCACCACCCGAAGGAGAAAATTCAAACTGAATCTATAGCCGGATCCCGGCTAGGTGCATCGCCCGTTCCCCCCCCACGGAACTTCCTACTTCCGCAGTGCCAGACCCAGGTCGTCTCCCTCTAATCCGCCTCCACTATCTCAATCGCCCATCCTCCAAACCCTTGACACACACTCCTCTTCCCCGCCCAATTCTATTCAAGAATCGCGATCGGTCACCACCTCCCACCCGCGTTGTCCATCTCCTCTTCGCCAACTCTGTTCTTGGCCCGGGTTGACGTCAACCCGACACTCCAGTGCTACGCAGCCCGACCGTCAGCTTACGACGTCCCCACTTCGCTTGGTCTTACGGCGACGAGAAAAACTCGTTGGCAAAAAGTGCTAAAGCTCGCCCCCCCCTTTCTTTTATACGCATCATCCAGGCGCGGGGGCCAGGCTAATTTCCTCTTCATTGCTCCCGCCTTAACAAATATCCCGAAGGACTACGGGCGCGATCAACGTCCGCGGCTCTTCGGCACTCGAGTGGCCCCAGTGCCACCTCACTTCGTCGGCGTTGTGCATAGATCTGGCCCCCTTTTGAGGCCGGATCCAAGCAGGCGCGCCCCCAAACCCCTACCCGCTTCCCTCAAGTCGAGCGTGTCACCCTTGCGTAGCGGCCAAGCTATCCTCCCTGTATTGTTCCAATATTAACAGATTTCCCGAGGGACTCCTTGTGGCCGCCTCAAAGGCCATTCGGCCTCCTTCCTTGGCTCTGCGCGCGCACCCGACCTGCCTCTCGTCCGGGTTCATCCCCGGACCTCACACGCACCCGCCTTGCACAGGTAACTCCTCACCGCAACTGCAAGCAGTCGGGTACTCTTCCCTCCCCCCTCGCACGTACCGGGCCTGGCCCGCGCCCGAGTTCATTCCCGGAACTGCGCGCGTCACCCCGCGCCATGGCCAGGCTGACCTTCTCAGTATCGATCCAATTTTAACGGATGTCCCGAAGGACTTGCGCACCTCAGCCTGCTTCGCGACCGGGCGCGGCCCCGAATCTTTCTGCCAACGTCATTCCTCCGCAGCTGACGTTGCGGATCTTCCCAATATTGCCCCTGATCTACCGGTATCTCATAGGGCTTGCGCGCGCCAGCGCCCTGTTGCTTTCCCAAAGGTTAGCCGACCCTCCCTTCTGCCCCTTTTATAACCCTAGGATCGTAAACAAGGAAGGGGATACAATAGAGTAAAAAGGTAAACTTAAAATAAGACCACATAACAAATTAGGGAAGGGGATCGTAAGAAGGTACAGTCCGCGGGCCTTACTAAGACCCCCCCCTTGACCCTGCGGCGCGGGCTCGCGATCGGACTCCCCCAACAAAACAAAGGGGGATAGTCCCGCAGGACCCTCGAGCCCTCCGCTCCCTTGCGTCTCCGTTGCTCCTTCGTTGTCGTCCGCTGGCCTCGATCCTCGTCCCTCTGTCGCACTAACCCAACGCCATAACCAATAGGGCTAAGCCCAAGCCTGAGACCAACAGGCTCAACCTTCTTTCAGCCTGAGACCAACAGGCTCAACCAATATAGAGTGATACCGCGCGACGCCCGTGGCCAAAATACTGCGCTGGCCATTCTTTCAGCCCCCATTTGCACCCACGGCCCCTAAGTGCCCGCCTCGGCCTACCAACTTATGCCATGGCCATCCCGCGCGCCTACCGGCGCGCCAGTCCTACCGTCAGTGACACATACCAACCAAAGGCGATCCTTCATCCCTTAATCAAATTCGTGACCCGGTACGGGTCGGCTGACTACACCGGCCGCCCACTCAATCAAAAAAATCACGCGCGCGCCGTGAAACTGCGCGCCCACCTACCTCCTAGCTCAACCAAGGCGGGTCCCGGGCGCGGTCGCGCCTCGCCCGACTTATTTTGACCAAATCTACCTTTCGTGTCACTTGCAAAAACCAGGGCGGATACCCTTGTAAGGGTATTCGTGCCTACAGCTTACCGAACCATATTAAGCGACATCCCCGTCGCTTCGCCAGATCAAAAACTATAAATCCATCCACACTCCAAATGCTGACGAGAACTGAACCAATCCGATCAGCCGACAGACTCAGGGTTGAGGCCTCCATCAAATCGTGCCAACACAACTATATGCCGTCAGGGCTTCAACCTGGGTCTCCATTGTCCTAACACTAGGACGCCGGTGTAGTGCGCATCGATACTACAGCATAAGTTCCAACGGCCCTCAAACCATCCTCTCCCCCTTTGTCCTAGACAACCGTCGACCTCTCGTTGGGTGTCACAGTTAGTCTCTTTCTCGCAAGCAGAGTCATAATTAGGGACGCGGACCTTGAACGAGACCTATGAAGGCATTCTTGCCTATTTCCAACAATTTTCTTACAATCAAACAGAATATGCATATATAGGCTTACATCTTCTCTCAGCCTTTCCTGCAGTCTAGTACAGAAACGCCAGGTCTCCATCTTGGCCCACCATAGCTTGGTTGATCGGACCAGGTCTACGACCCACCGCATTGTTACCTTAGCTGTAGAATCCCCTCGCTGGTTATGCAGCGATAGGTATGTTCCTGACAATCAGTCAATTAGGATTCCCAAAAGACTCGACTCTTATCCCACGGAGCAATTTCCTTGGGGCGGGCAACTCCCCTTAAACTCTTACCCTGCAGGCCCGCAGCCAGGTTGCGCCGGTTAGCAGCCATCCACTAGGGGTTACGCCCAAGTGGTACTAAACTTTACCGTTAGCTTGATATTCCTTTAAATATGCCTCAGAATTAGCACAAGCGGCTAGACGGGGCGTCACAAAACAATTCACAGACCCGATGCGGGACTACGCAGGGGTCTGAAGGCATTTACCAGCCCTTCCACAATAGGCATGACATCCTGCGCACAGCCACAAACAAGTCCCCTGCTAGGCTCACAAGGCTGCGGCTCCTGACTTGATCAGGGCCAGTAACCACCCATCCTGAGACATCTCTCGCCCTGCACTCAGTGCGACTTTCTCAAACATTTTAAGCAAACATGGTTCCCTCTCCTCGTCAGACTTTATCAATACAAACAAAGCTTTCCATGCCACTCAGATTCTTACCCACCTTTAACTTGGTAAAGGTGCCTCTCACAAAAGGTCTCACAATCAACCCCCCCTTGTTTGGGATGAACCTTCACATGGCCTCTTCCAAAACCATGAAGGGGCCTCAATGACAATACTACCACCTTCTCGAACCATGAAGGGGGATTTAATCACAAATACTCAAGTTGAGGGACCATCTTCTGGGACCCTCTTCCATGACAAACAATCAAGTCTTAGAAGTTCATAAATCCCGTAGGATTCCCATAATTTTTCACAAACAGGCCGCACTCCCCCTCCTTATTCTCTGCCCTCTCGTCCGCTCGCAAGCAGACCGCGCGAGTATACCGGAGGGTAGACAACTTTACAATTCTCACTCGGGAGATGTATCCCGTACATTTTCCACACAAAGCCAAACATACATCAGGATAAAACCACACGTGTGAGAGTGATAGTGATCGTCACAAGACAAGTCTCATAGAGTCCCAATCCATAGTCCACTTGGGGAGCAAAATGTCTCCCTCAAAATTCAAACACAAACACTCAACTCAAAGCTCTGTTCATCTGAGCAGGACTCACGACCCCACTGTACACCTGCTGAGTATACTTGGGAACGCAACCTTTGGGAAAACTCACATCCAAGTCTCACTCAACACACAAATGGTCTCTGAATCACAGATCTAATTGTAGACTAAACAACCTCATATGTCCCATGACAGAACCCCATCTCCTAGGTCGTGGCCCACGAAGAACTCAAGAAAAAACAATGTCACGTATATATGTACAATCAGGTAGGAACTCACCCTACCACTCCTAAGGCCTGCACATGTATAGGGCCCACTCAGCTAACTCAGGGTATGTACACCTCCAACCCGCCCTCTGTGTGCAGAAAAAACAAACTCAGATCCAGTTACCTATGGGCAGACCATCCCCTACTCGCGTAACTCCTCCTGGTTCTGCCTATATAACTGAGCTCTACCCCCATCCGGAGCTCGCTCTACTATCCTACCCTGCCTATCATAGAACTTGTCGTCAACCTCTGCGACGTGTCCTTTGGCCTTGTCCTCGAGGAGCTCCGGGCAATCCAAAGCTCTATGCGCCTCCTTCTTACACCAGAAACAGGACGCGTCAAACCACCTCGCAGTTTTCTTCTTCCTTCCCCGATAACTCGATGTTGGCGTCCCCTTAGCCTCGGTGGTCACCTCATGACACAATGGCACTCCCATATAGCCCTGAGATCCGGGCTCCACGGCCTCAGCATCCTCACTGCCACGCGCAACTATGCTCTCTGACCCGTACTCTGGCGTATCCAGTCCCTGGGGCCTCCGTTCGCAGGGCCTCCCTACAACAACCATCCTCTCATCCCCACACGACCCCGATAGCTGAGGAACCACTACTGTGGCTGGCCCACTCACGACCTCCTGCTGCTGCCGCTCCTGTGGTGTACCTATCCCCATGGCTGTCACCAGCTCATGCAGACGCGAGCCTCTTTTCTCCGTGGACATAGCCATGAGCAACTCCTGTGCGCCACTCTCCTCTTCCGATAAATACGAGGGTCCCTGGATCAGGCCCTCGGCCCCGGCCTCATATGATGGGGACACCCTAGGCTGTATAGCCTCCTCAATAGAAGCTCCTGCCCCAATAGTCCACTCCTCAACCCCCCGTGTCGCCTCTTCCTTGGCCGAGTCCAGTGACACCTCCTCCATCGGCCTCTTTTGTCGAGGGGACTTCGCTGTCGCTCCTAGACTCGGCGAGACCTGCGTCCCTCGATCCTGGCCATCGGCGCCAGCTCGTCTTATCTGACTAGCCACCCAGGCTGCCGAAAGTCTATCCATAATGGCTGCCGTTTCCCCAAATCTTCTCTCCCACTCAACCTCTTTGGCCTGGGTCCTCGCTCTCTCCATTGCAAGCTGAGTAGTCAGGTGTTCCACTTCCAACTTCCCGGCCGCCAGCTCATCACTAAGTAGACTAAACCAATCGAAAGATGTAACTGCCACCTCGCGTATCCTCCTATCCACACGTTCGACCGCCATTCTAGTGGCAGAGAACCCCAAATCCCCCATGTCCCTTAACTCACCCACCCTCTCGTCCGCATGTCCCGTCTCCTGCAGTCTGTGGTGGGCCGCATCTCTCTGGCTCTCATACCTCGCCCACAACTCGTCGATTCTCTGCTCACTCGTCTGGGGATCGACTGGTGGCATCGGTACTATCCCTGCCGCTTCCATCTCAGCCTGCCTCGCATGTATTTCAGCTAGACGGACTCATACTTTGGCGGACTTCTCCTCGCGGGTTTCCTTTGAGGCTCTCCCCGCTCGCGGTCCGTGGCCTTCTGGAGTTGACGCCTGGGCACTCATTCCTCCGCTCGTACATGGCAACGCCGGCGGTGGCTCCACTGGTGCACGCCCCCCGATAGCTGGGCACTCGGCCGTAACCATAGCCAATGGTAAAGGAATGGTCACACTCATCCCTGCTCTCTCATCCACTCCCTGTTCCTCTATCTCCGGCCCCCGCTCAGGTATAGTGGTGGCCTCTGGGGGAAATTCCAGAATCTCCTCACTATCTGGCTCGGGAATCCCCTCTGGCCAGGGCTGCTGCGTCTGCTCTGGGGCGGGGCTACATGGAGGGGTGTCGTCTCCAACCGTGATCACCTCCTCAACCCGAGGTCACGCCAGGCCCTGCTCCTCGGCTACCGCCTCCGGGTCTTGTGGCTCCCCTCGGCCCCGTATGTCTACCTCCGCCTCGGGGTCCAACGGCTCCTCTATTGGTACGTATTGCACTGGCTCAGCTGAGCCCTCCCCCAACTGTGAGGCTTCCCATCGAGATACGTCAAGGTGAGTCACCAGACTCCGAAACGGCGTCTCCCCTGGCACGACCTGCTCTGGCCCTGGTAATGGCGGCGAAGGCGGCCGCAATCCATCACTCGTAATCCACCGAAACTCCACTGGCTTAAGACCATAAGCAGGGAACGACCCCTCCTCTGGCACAGGCTCCATGGGCTCGTCTTCTCGCCGCGCTGGGGCTCTCCTGCCCTCTCTGGCCACCTTAGCCCCTCTCGGCACTGGTTCCCTTGGCCTCTTGCTTCGCCTCCGCCTCTCCACCCTGGGCTCTGGCCTCTCACGCTCTCGCCGCCCAAGTACTTGTCTGAGCTGAGCCTGGCAGTGCTCCCAATCTTTCGCCCTATCTCGGATCTGCCTGGCCACTGTCCTCTCTGCCCTCCTGGTCCAGATGAGTAGGGCCTGCATCCATCCCTCCTGCGCAATCCCCTGGCTCAGCATATAGTGCTCATATGCAGGAACAAACTCCTCCTCGTTCCGCTCCTCTAGTTGAATGGGCATGCCATCACGTCCCATGGGTGAAGCTCTCAACCTCTGCATCCCGGCCTCAACATCCGGCCAGGTCAGGGTCTTCTCGCATATCGGAGCGATAGGCTCCTCAAACCGCCCTATCCCCCTCAAATGCTGAATCCTCTCCGCCACTGACCACCCTCTCTGTACCGCATGGTCCCGATATACATCCAGGAAGAGCTCTATGTTATCGTCGTCGAACTCAGGCGCAGGTTCCCTCCTAGGCGGCCTGTTGTGCTCGTCCCTCCCAGGCGCCCTCTGGGGCCCCTGTCGTGACCGTGCGTCCCTCCTGCCCCTCTGCATGACTGCCTTCGAAAAGTCAGATCTGCAGACAGCAACAGGCACACAGCAGGGTCAGCAACTAAGCCCATTAGCTTAGGAAATCCCCCATACATTCTACGCCCATCCACCCTAGTCATCCCTCTATCTGATCCAGCCAAAAATGTGTGATATCTGGGCAATACTCTATTCCTAAACATGCCTCGTGGTCCCTTACCTATTCTCTGGCTACGAACTTCTTCAGTCTTGTCCCTGATACCCAGTCATGCCACCCCGCTCCATCCAACTCCTCGATCTGATAGGCCCCGAACTCGCCACACCGCATGATTCTATAAGGTCCCAACCACCGTTTATCGAGTTTCCTGGACCATTGCTTTTCTAGTGAGGAGTCATATAGCAACACTGTATCTCCAACTTTCAGCGGATCCTTTCTTACATGGGTCATCTTGTTCCATCTCATCTTGTCCTCCATGTGGCTCCTCTCTACCTGACCAGCGGCCTCTCGCAACCTTTCCTCAGCAGCTCCCACTTGCCGCGCCCGAATATCGAGCAGTTCTTCAAAGGACAGGTTCACTTCCAAGTCCTGACGCCTCCACGTCTTCATGAAACTTTCTATGGGAAAGGTGGCATGCCTCCCATACCATAGTGTGGCTGGCGCGTACTTGGTAGTCCTTTTTACTGTAACGTTCTCTACAAAGAAAGCCGCTCGCAGGAACTTCGGCCACTGACCGGGCCTACCTTCCATCCACTTAGCCAAGAGGTTTGTGATGGTACTGTGCCCCCTCTCCACAGGTGCGTTCGCTTGAGGGTGCGCGGCCGAAGTATAGTTAGCCACTACGCCATACCCCGCAAGCAAGGTTCGCACCTCATTGCAGGTGAACTCCGATCCTCGGTCCATCACGAACTCTTTGACAAGTACTCCTCGATGCAATTTGCCAACACTGGGCAAGTCTTCGTCCGGATAGCCCGACCGTCCACAAACCCTGTAAGGTTATCCCGTGCATCGAAGATGTAATTACACCCATTTTCCTCACCTAGTATGAACAACAGGTCCAGGTGTATGACCGCACCCACTTCCCTCTCCAACCTTGGGTGCAGGGGTTCTCCTGGCCTTTGCGCTGACCTTTCCTGGCAAGGTATACAAGACTGGCAATACTTGATGACCATAGTCAACATCCCATCCCAATGGTAAAGTTCGCTTATCTTTGCGCATGTGGTACCTATCCCTCTGTGCCCCCCGACTATACCATCATGTAGGGCTGCTATAATATCGATTTGGTGGTTCCTCCCACATACAATCCTTTTAGGATTTCCGACCTGCCGCTTTATAAACAGATGGCCATCTCTTACTATGTATTGGTGCCTCATCTTCTGCGCTTTAGCACTTGCGTCCCAGTCCCTTATCTCACATGACAGTAGTAGCCCCAACTCCCAGTAGATCCAGTCATATTCTTTCGCGCGAAAAGCCTCCCTGATCTCTCCCTCCTCGAACTTATCGTCCTGGCTTTCAGGAACCACAATTTCACTTTCCTCAGGACTGAATGAGCCCCTCTGGTCAAAGCTCCCTTGCAGGAGCGTATTAGTGAGCAGATACATCCCTCCTATTAGCTGCTCATGCTCCTCCACCTGAGTTGGGCATTCCTCTATCGTCCTCACTTCCTTCGCCAGACTGTGTGTACCTGCCAACGCCAACTTCATCATCCAGCCAACATCCTTGCTTCCCCACGGATCTTCCTCCTGAAAGGGCTTGAGGACTAACTCTTCCTTTTGCTCGTACCCCTTTGGCGCTAGCCATATGGGGTGACTGACACAGCTGGGTACTCGCAGGGACCATTCGTTTATGTGGAGGCGGACGTCCTCCTCTTGATCCAAGAACCCATCAACTGGCGGGGTGTCTTCTATCGATTCCTGATCCGATCCGTCCCAGTTGATGCGGCTTAACCCATCTGCCCGGTTCTTGTTCCCTGGAATCCTTTCCAACTCGAAATTAAACATTCAAATGAAGGTCAACCATCTCGCGACGGTTGGGTCAGATGGAGTATAATTCTTCAGGGAACATGCAAGTGCAGTAGGATCCACCCTCAAAATGAGCCTTCTGCCGAAAACATAGTTTCGAAAGGTCCTCAGGCAGTGGAGTACCGCCAGTGTCTCCTTCTTAAACTGAGAGTAGTTCCTCTCAATTGTATTGATGGTGCGACTTTCAAACCTTAATAGCCTCTCCTTTCCTTCAGCGTCCGCCTGAATCAGGACCCCTCCCAAGGCAGTTGGTCCAGCGTCCGTCTCAATGACGAATGACCTTTCCTCCGTGGCTTCATAGTTTGGCGCTCCCAACACCAAGCCTCCTTCCTTAAACTCTCCTTTCATCCTATCGACCGCCTCTTCCTGGTCTTCACCCATGACCCATTCCTGGTCCTGACGCACCAATTTCCTTAAGAGTTCCGTCTTTGTGGCAAAATCCTTCACGAAGCTCCTCCAAAATCCACACGTCCCAAGGAAACTCCTCACATCCGTTATCGAGCGGAAGGGCACTGGCCACTCAATGATCTTGTCTGTCTTCTTCACATCAGGCCTTCACCCACTCTCATTACAGACAAAACCTAAAATTGTGGCCTCCCTCATACAATGTTTCGACTTTGGGCCACTTGTCGTCAGGTTGTGTTCCTCCAATAAACTCAGAACCTGATCGATGTCCCGGACATGCTTCCAGACGAAGCGCCTTACTCCAGGCATCACCTCATCTTCCTCCTTTTCCTTTGGACCTTTGATCGCCAGGTCATCGATATAGGGTTGGGTGATATGTGGACTAACCGTCTGCATGACTTTAATCATGTGCCTTTGTACCATTGCCACTGCATTGGTCCATCCCTGAGGGGCTACATTCATATGGATCAGCCCCCTCGGCGTATGCATCGCCATCACCGGCCTATCTGGCGGGTATACAGGAAATTGGTCATACCCATAATAGACGTCTATAAGTGAAATTATAGGTCTTCCTGCACATGATTCTGACAGGGCGTCCGCGTTTGGCAACCCTCCCGCGTCCCACAACGTCACCGCATTCAATCGCTGCAAGTTCTGCACCCACCTTAGCGTCCCGTTTGGCTTGATAAAACAAAACCAAGGGGAGACATAAGGCCCACTGGAGTAGTCGGCCACGTGCGTCCGCATCTTGCCGTCAAGGTAGTCCACCACCTTCTTCTCCTCATCCGGATTCGGATATCGCGTGCCCCTTAGATCCCATGGCTCGTGTGGGACGGTGTGGATTTGTATAATTGGAATCTTATCCACATCCAACCTCCCACGCTCGTCATCATTAAACGCATACGCGCGATGTCTCTTCTTCATCGTCTCCACCATTAGGGCCTTCTCTTGGGGTGAAAGGAAGCCGGGTTCCCCAACTATCAGCTCCCCTTCATTCTCACTGCTGATACGGCACGGCCCGGCCAACGCGCGCTCCTGCATACGCCGTATCAGCCCTCGCTCCCGTTCGTAATAGGCTTCCTCGTCCTCTGTGACAAGCACAGGGACTGGGCGGCTCTTCTTATTTATGGTCTTGTACCGCCTTTGGGAGCCCTGCTTAAGCCCTCCCCTAAAAAAGGTCGACTTGTCGCTCGGGCCTGGGCCATTACAGGGCCTCCCCTCCCTCCTGGAAGCCGATATATCAGCTTCACTTCTCCCACCTGAGGGTTCTCCAAAACCTACTCCCTAAGCGCCTTGATGGCCTCAGGATCCGCCATGTCGTGTGCCAACACCACTTCCATAGCCTTGTTCACATCTCTAAGGCTCAGTGTCAGCACCTCGGCCCTTTCCTCCTCCTTGGGCACTTCCCAAAGCCTCCTTCGCTCGTTCTTTGATTCCTCAAAGGTGAATGAGCCGATATTAGGTCTATTCCTTCCGCTCCCCGGCCCCCGAGTTTCGGCAAGTGATAACCTCATAGTTCCCGCACGCCGGGTCACATAGGAGCAGGATCATCGTCCCGTCGTGCTTGTTGAAGATTAGCATCTCAGTTCTACACAAGAACGACCTCCCCAGAAGGATGGAATGATCGACATCGGGCATGACGAAGAAGCAAGTCCTAGCCCGCATCTTCCTAATCTCTATGATCACATTGGACGCAGTGCCGCAAAAAGCAGCCTTGCAATTGACGCCATGCAACATGCCATGGTCCGGACGGTCGATCTCCATACCCAGCATCACCGCCTCCTTTTCCCTGATGATGTTCATCTCTGCGCCCGTGTCCACCATCCCGGTGCACTTCTGGTTCTTTATTACCAAATCCACCTTCCCGAACGCCACACACTTCCAATCCATCATTGTCCCTACCTCAGTCCACTCTACCTCCCTGGGCAGGATCGTACTCAGATGGACATTAGGCACCAACCTTCGCGAGAGTCGCCCTTTCAGCTCACCACGGAGCCTTGGCGCCGACGCCAGGATGTCCTTTAGGTTCATCAGGTCATTATGGCCTTCCAAGAGCTTGTCCACCATTCGCTCCATATCAAAGCCTTCCTCCATCCGGACCACGTACTTCTTCCTCTTAGGCACGCTGTCAGGCAGGCTTGGCTCGGCCTCCTCCTGGGCTCCTCTCTTCCTGGCCCTTAGCTCTGCCCGCCGGTTCTCTTCTTGTCGGAGCCTCTCATCCTCTTCGTCGTCATCCGCTTCCTCTTCCTCCGGAACCTCTACCACCTCCTTTCTACGTCCTGGGTCAGGCTCCTTTCGAGGGGGTGCCTGACTGGGCGTGCTTGGACTTTTGACTAGGTCCGGCCTTGTTCTGGCTCCTGGTCCGTGCCGCCTATGGCACCCTCCCATGCGACGTGGGGGGTCTGTAGGTCATACCCGACCTAGGGCCCGTCCCTACGGTCGCAACTCTTGGGTACCCCTGTTGTCCTGACGAAGGCTTAGGTCCGGAGTCATAGAGGAAGACCTTAGGCAGGTTGGTTTCCCATCTTAGGGCCTCTTCACATAGGGTCTGCAACTTCTGCTGGTACCTCCCCACCTTTCCCAGCAGATCCTCCATCTTCTCCAAGATGACTATGGTCGGCTCTCTTTCATCTTCATCTGACTCGACGACTATCGGCTCCTCCCTTACAGTCCCTGCCTTTAGTCGCTGAGTAACCTCCTCGCTATCGCCCACAATCTCCTCGATTCTTATGGCCGGATCCTCTTTCTCCTGCCACATCCTGAACATGGCCGGGGTTACTGGTGGCCCTGCCACCGCTCGCGTGAGAGCCTCTTGCCTGATCCCTCCCGGGATCTTGGGGTTAATATGCTTTCCCCATTTATCAAATATATCTCTGTCCATACAGGAGGAGATTAGCTGCTAGCTCATCATCCCGCCGCTGCTGGCAGAATCGTATGGTGCGTCCTACGGCGCTACAGTGTCAACAGGTGGCACTCCGCCAATCAAAGCGGGGCCCCCCATATCCTTGGCCCCCCTCCTGGCCGCCTTGGCCACCTTGCTTTTGGCCCCCTTGACCATTCCAACCACCCCCCCGATCCCCACCATTTTTTCCTCGTCCCCGGCCACCGCCTCCTTGACCCCCTTGGCCTCGGCCTCCATTGCCTTGGCCGCCTTGCCCATGGTTTCCTTCCCCGGCCACACTAGCCTGCGAGGCTTGTTGGGAGGGCGGCGGTTCGGCCGCAAACTGGCCTTGAGTCGCAGGGTAGCTCGGGGGGCCCATACTTGCCGACGGGCCCGAGTAGGGGACTATCTGTCCATCATGGGCTTGACTCCCTCCACACGAGGTACAGTGGTTACAACTGGGTCAGGGCGCGAGCTGACAATGCGGCATCCAGTGCCCACAAGCTGGCAGCTGCCCCATGCATGACGCCCCAGCTGGCGCTGGCGCCGTCGTGGCGGCAGGTGGCACCGCGGCAATTGCTTGCGGGGCTTGCCCCTTTCCTGATCCTTGACCCCCCATTAGCAAATTGCGCTGCTTTCTCTGGGCTTTAGTCAGGATCAAGGAGCCCGTCTCTTCACCGCCGTAGTCCTCGCGTCCAGCCTCCGCGTCCACTGCCCCGGATGCTCGGCCTTGGGCCACGGTCACCCCTCTCTTTTGCACTTCCGCCTCATTATCATATCCCAAAGCCGCCAGCACGTCCGTGACGATCGTCTTCACCCCTGGAGTCCCAGATGCGGTGGCGTCCCTTTCCTTTCTCTTGCGCCTCTGCAGCCGCATCTGGTGCTGCTCCACCTGGTCCAGACTCCCCTCTTCCACTCCTTTGTCGATAGTGGCCCAGGTGAGCTTCTCACTTCCCCCTCCATGGCTCGCTAACTCCGCAGCCTCCGAGCCAGTAAACAAACCCAAAAATATGGCCCATTGCGTCTCTTCAGAAATCTCATGCACCTTCCTCGCCTTTCTCTTGAACTCGTGCACGAACGCCCCGATCGTGGAGAAGTCGTCTTTGTTCATGGCTTTCAAGTCTGCCATGGTCAACAAGCCATCCCCCAGCCTGTACTTTCTTAGCATTAGGTCCCTGAACCTTGCCCAGCTGCCATTTGCGGCGTCCACCAGCCTACCCACCTCCTAATGGTGGCTATGAAGGGCGTATCTCATAATCCGCTGGAATCTTACTTCATCCGCCAATCCTACCAATGCCTGCTCAACCAGGTCTAGCCAATCGGACACCCGCTCCCCTTTGAAATGGAATGTATCAACCTTCGGGACATTGCTCGGCGCTCTCTCGCGCTTATCCAAGGCATCAATGAGGTCGTCGAGCGTTACGAGCTTTCTCCCGCCGTCCGCCATCTCCCCCCACATCTTTTTGGTTGACTGCCTTCGGCTTCAGTCCCCTTGTTATGAGAAACGATAGGACAAAAGATTCCACTCAGCAGTCTAATCCATCACGACCCTATCGGGCCGACCACTTAAACACCCGACGCTCTAGACCTCGCATACACTTATTTTCCTATTTCCCTTAGGCTCACCTAGATAAGGTTCATCCTCACTATAGAATTTCCCCACACATTCGCCTCATCCACACCATCAGCCATCCCGCCAATCAATCGATATTCACACTCGCCACCATATAGACCACCATACAATCCATCTCATAGTCCTACGCTTATCAACCCACGTGCCTAGTTCTCCCTCATTCCCATACCCGGATGTCGTTCCACCAGGGACAACGGTAGGCTTCCGCGCATCGGTCCGGCACCGCACGTGGCAGCGCGGGACCCTCTCGGTCGCGGCACGCAGGAGTTGGACCAACCTCGACATGAACACACAAATGGAGCTTCCTTAGGCCGCTCCGGCCGAGTGCGCCAGCCATACCTCTCGCGAGCCCCTACGACAGGATAGGTCCTACGCGAGGTATAATTTTTCCTCCACCTGCAGGAGCTGTCACCTCCCTTCGGTGGGCGTATCCCCGCCAAGCTACCAATCCAGAATACGAAAGCTACTCAGTTGCAATCGCAGAGGTGGACCAGCCGATGACATTTCAAGTTCATTGTAGCATAGGTGGGCACGCGCGGTAATACGCCTATCGGACCCGCACGCGAACCGACATCTGGGGGGGCTGAAGTCCCAAGCGCGGCTCGTCGTCGGTCGACTAGGACGCATCCCACACACCACGCCCACACCACTCTACGAACACACAAAAAGAAACACACACACATATGCACGAAACGACACAACACACACAACGCGACAACGCTCCTAGCCCCTTCAGTGGCCATCCCATAACTTTCCACTGCGAAAATTGGATAGGCGTCGCACGCGAGACTTAGTATAAAATTGCGCAGACGCAAGGCCTACTCATATCGACTAGCAATGCAAACATACACAAGCAGTCGCAATGATGGCGAACCATGTAGTACCCATACTCGCGCGGCCCTCATTAATCTCGAGGGTCGCGTTCGACACTCAAGTGTCAGCTGACACGCGCCTTGAGGGTTAATCTCTCGACGCCAGACTACCGCCATGCGCGGTTGAAGACCACGCACCCGCTTCTGCACTCTGTGCAGAGCGGGTGGTACACAGGTCCATAGTTGTGGTGGCAGCCGTTTCTTGCAGCCGTGGGGGTAAGTCCTTCTCCAGGCCTGGGCGGAAGTCAGTCAACCCCAACTAATCTCCGCACTCATACCCCTTGCTTTAGCCATGCAAGCCTCAACCTCATGTCCAACCAACCATAATTAAACACTCAGTACCTTTGTCAAATGGACATTCAATAAAAG